CGTCATGGATCCAGGGGAAGGCCCGGCCCGGTTCCTTTACCGGGAGCCGCGGCGGTGAACCTAACCGTAACGTTGCATCCGGGTGGAACGAATAAGCATCCTTAGAGCTCTTAGATTCTTTCTAGACAGTGAAGCGACCGGGAGCCAGGGCACGTGGACGGGGTGGAGCGGCGGGGTGGGCGGGGCACCGCGTCTCGTCCCGCGTCGCCCCGGCCCGCCAGGCTCACCTTGCTCCCTGAAGTGTTTGAAGTTTGCAGAATCGCCTTTAGGTGGTGGTTTCCGTTTAGAACAGTATACAATTAATTGTTCCTCATTCATTAGAAAGCGTTATCGGTAAAACTGATAGTATTTTGAGTCAATTAGATAAGTTCGGAGCCAAAGCATAAAATACACAGTTATGGGAGAAGTTTCTAACTTGTACAAATCCTAAACTCTACTTAATAGGTAAGTTATGTAAATTTGCACCAAGTAATTGGGTTCTTTTTGACAGAATATTGAGAAAGTTTCACTGCCCAAAAATCATTACTTTGTTCTACCAAGTAAGAGAAATGTTTGATACTTTCAGTCTTGGCCACAGCTGGATTTTGAAGGTTGTTCCAAGGGACTGTTAATTTCAGGAAATGATTTGAAAGACACTGGCTCTGCCACTTAACAGCCATGTAGCCTTGGATAAGTCACTTAAAGGGCACTGAATGTTTCCTTATTCGTACCATCACCTAGACCCTCCCAGAGATCAAACACACTTAGCGGTTGATACAGCTGTTTTTCTTCAATACCACCATTTTATACTTTTGTTCTCACTAAGAAATAAGAGGACTGGTGTATTGAGGAAGTATAGATTTAGAATTATATACACTTGTATTCCAATTCTTGAACTATTTATTATATCTGTGAGTCTCAGATTCCTCATCTGCAAAAAAGAGGGTAATATTACCAGGAATTACATGAGTGATGTATAGAATCTGCACAGGCACTGTCAAGGGCAAGGACCCCACACCCCCTTATTCATCTTAATGGTCTCCAGCACTGTGCCTGGCACATTATAGGTGCTCAATAAATGTTAAATCTGAATATTAGTTAACCTTAGTTTGACCTTATGTCTTAATTGTAGCTGCCGAACTAGAATATTTCCTTAGGCTTAGATGCCAGCTAAGAAATTTTATAGTGTGAAATTCATATACCTATGGTATTTATACTCAGTTTTTTCTTAGTAGCAATTAATAATTATATTAAGCTAGTGATTACATTTAATTCAAATAAATTATAGCTGACATTAGTAAAGTAAATCTATAAATAATGTGTAAGCAGTAATCTAATTTTTTACAGATAGTTTATAATTCAGGAACATGAAAGTTCATCCAGCTCCACTCTTGTTTTACATCTGAGGAATCTAAAACCTACAGAAACAGCTCTGGCGGGGGGGCTCAGTTGGCTGGAGCATCATCCCATACACCAAAAAGGTTGTGAGTTCAATTCCTGGACAGGGCACATACCTAGGTTTCGGGTTCAGTCCCCAGTTGGGGCGCATACGGGAGGCAGCCAATTGATGTTTCTCTCGCATTGGTGTTCCTCCCTCCCTCCCTTTTGCTCTAAAATCAGTAAAAAACATATCCTTGGGTGAGGATTAAAAATAAAATAAAACCCACAGAAACTAACTTGCCTAAGGTCAAACTGCTAACTGGTATTCCTCCAGGAGAGGAATCCATGAGTTTTATGTCCCCTGCCTTCTTTTGGCTGGAACAAAATGTTTTGTATTTTAGAATTACAGTAATCTGGAAGAATGGTGAATTGGCAATTACTCCTATAGCACAATTTTTTTCTAGTTGGAAAAGAGCAAATTCTTGGTCTGAAAGAAAAGGTTCATATGGAACTATCTTTTTACATACACAGAAAAGTTATAGCCTTTCTTCAGTCCCACCAAGGCCCACATGAATTGTTCAGCTTGATTTTACTGACTGCTGTACCTGAAAGGAACTAATTAGATATATAAATAAACCAAGTAGAAAATTACAAGGGAATAAAGACAACAGCTAATTTGGCTCTTTTGTTGCAAAAGATGTTAATTATAACCTTTTGCCTGTGGAATACTGTTGTCTGGGAAAGCTTTGAGACTCAGTGGAAAAGGTGGTGGAACTATTCTGGTCTGGGATACAGCATTTGTTTGCTTATTTGTAACAGTTTGATACATTTGGTCTAATGTTATCTGTGAAGGCTGCAAAGGAGAAAAACCCTGTTTTGCTGATGCCTCTAGTCTTTCCTCCTTTGAGTTTTGATCTTTTCCTGGGCTGGTGATACGTGTATGATAGATACTCTGTGGTCAGAGCAGCTCCCAGTCAGCCGAGATCGTGAAGGTAAACAGCCCAGACTCTACAGTGTACCGAGTGCTTTTTTTTGACTTATAAGTCAAGGAGCATCTATCATCTTTTGGAAGGAAATACCCTCAGGTTCAGGGGAGAAAGTGGCTACAGAACCACTGGCCCCGGGTTTCTGGGTAGTCGTCCTTGTGGTCACAGCTGGAGTGCATCCCTACTATAAGTGCTGTGGGTAGGGAAGGGGAGAAGGGTACTAGAGAAGCCAAGAATAAAATGTTTGCACCTTTGCCTGATTTGGAGCCAGACAGAAAGCTAGTGAGCCAGAGAGAGCAGAAAATAAGGGGAAGCACTGACTGCTGTGAGTAGGTATGGAGACCATGCTGAGCCGTGTGAGCACTGGGGAGTCTGGCAGGAGTTTGGTTACATTCCTATTAGGGGCCACAATTCACCTTCTGAAATAAGAATTCAGAGCCTGTGACTGGGGGTTAAGAATAGAACGGTCTTGCCCAGCCGTTGTGGCTCAGTGGTTGAGCACTGATCTGTGATCCAGGAGGTCACAGTTCAATTCCCAGTCAGGGCACATACCCAAGTTTCAGGCTTGATCCCTAGTAGGGGGTGTGCAGGAGGCAGCCAATCAATGATTCCCTCTCATCATTGATGTTTCTTTCTCTCCCCTCTCACTTTCTCTCTCTGAAATCAATAAAAACATATTTTTTAAAAAAGAATAGTATGGTCTTTGGTCTACAGCTAGTGCCAATAAAAATTTTGCTGGCATTTATTCGATATTGTAAGATTCCAAAATGCACCTAAAATGTGCGAGGGGGAAACTTGTTGCTAGAAAAAAACCCAGAAGCCTCAAAATGTGATTCAAGTCAATAAATAATCTTAACTTAAGCCAAAGGTAGTGTTTGAAATGAAAGTACTGTCAGGAAATAGAGTTTTTAAGATTGGACTGAAAGAGATTGTATTTTCTGTTGAGTGACTTCCTTGGCCGTAACACAATGCTGGGACCTACAGATAACACTTTCTAAGGACTCGTGTGTATGTAGACGTGAAGCACAACTAGGATGTGAATTGTTTCCGTCTTCGATGCCCCTTTCCCTTTCAGGAAAAAAAGTACTTGCATGAGTGATAGTTGACCACTAATATGACCTCTGGGAAAACCCACAGCGTACTTTGTGGTTTATCTTCGGGAAGATAAAGGAAGTAAAAGAAGGAACTGGATCATTGCTTTTTTTTTTTTTTTTTTTTTTTTT